GCTGCTGTCATTGGGCTGACCAAGGCCGGCGGCCGTCGTTTGGGTATGCAAGTACTCAGATACCAAGTAGTCGTACATGACATGCTCAGCTGTGTCGTGGTTGGTGTCGGTCGTATTCGTCCAGCTGCAGCCGCCGCCGTTTACCTGGATTCCCCAGGTTGGACAAGGTTTTCCCACAGGCCTCTTCTCCACCACGTGGAATCTGAGCAGGAGCAAAAGCTTGGTGAAGTCGTCATCTGTCAGAGTCTGATATTGAGATCGTCTGTGTTGTCATGTCGCCCAACGTACGACAACGACGAAGAGCGACATTGGACGATAGGGGTCGCAGGGATCGCCCAGACGCTAGTCCGCTTCTGCCGCGCACTATGCCCCGCACGTGAATGATCCTCACTTCTCCACACCAAAAGAGTCTCACAGATCCCTAAAACGTGGCAGCGACGATGACCTGGTTGCCGTGGGCCGAAATGTCAATCAAAAGTGGGCTGCAAGGCATGTCCATCAATCGTTCTCACGGGCCCTGTCCTCGCAACCACACGGCCTCGGATGACGATCGCTCCTTGCCACGCTCCCAACGCTGACATGAAGCACCGCAAGTCCGAATATGTCCGTCTTGTCTGGGTCTAGCACGCTGCCCATACTACTGCGCCTCGCTGAAACCCTTCTTCTTACCAGCACAGCTTCAGTCGCCTGAACTTTTTCCTAGCGTTTCATCGGGCCATATCTACGCTTGGCATTCCGCCTGACCCGGCCCTCAACACCATCAACCATGCGAAATCCGACTTGACGTCGGGCTTTAGTGCAGGTGTGTGGGAGTTTGGAGAAGAGAGAAGGCCCGGATATGTCTCACAACATCGAGTCAGAAAGGGCGGAATACAAGACTTGTTGCTGTGCCACAAACACGTCTCAGACAGGACGACATGCAGTCTACTACAATTAGGTTCACTAACGGGCCAACGTCTTCGCGCAGACATCAGTGTCACTCCTATCATAAGGTACGCTAGACAATTGAGTTCTCGTATTCTGATGGCGTAGTTCGACGTTCTGCTATTGCTGCCCTACGAATGGTTACTATATTCTGCGGTTTATGTTTGACGTCAACATAGACCCTTGCTACATGATGACCACCACCATTCGCCATGGACGTACCTCAGCACCACGCATACAGGTTTTTTGGCCCAATCAAAACCAGAGATACCATTGTATTCCACAGTCGCCAAAACCATAAACTATGGAGAATTGTCAGACCGTTGAAATGCTTTTCAACCCCCCTCGTAGATTACGACACTCGAATCCTCTTCGTTCTCAACCCATTGCTGTTCCATTGAAAGTGCAAAGAGAATTGTCCGACAATGACAAATGCAAGCCCTGCGTTCCAAGAGAACGCACAGGCGCTACTGCACTGAGCACCATGCTGTTCAATACCACCGTTCCTCCCACACCATCCTCAAGAGATGTGACACTGTCAGGTGAATGTCGCACTTGGGTGGATCTATTAGAACTTACAGAGTGTTCCCCTTTTCAGCCCAGTGCGTTGTCGTAGCGAGACTAGCTCATGGCTCTGTTGAGATAGTCAGGGTACCATATCGTGTTAGTTCGTAGTCAAATAGCTGATCGCATACCACGGTCGGAAAATAGAGTTTGAGTTTGCATGTTCTTTACTAAGCCTCTAGTCTACGATAAGACACAGGCTCTTGCTTGGCTGAGCTGACATTTGGCGAGAAGTTGGAGAAATGGGGCTCGACAAGAATTGCTTAGCGGTCGTTAAGAATGGGCCCACCACGGCTGCATACATGCTGCGTATGGAGATTATAATCTGTGTGAAATCGGGTCGTATCGGATAAGGAATAGTACATAGTAGCGCCTTGGCTGATGATCTTGTACTTGGACCAGCTGTCGCTGCCTTACCCCCACAATCATCAATTGAACAATACATGCGTGACTGCTTGCTCTGCCTGGGTTTTTGACTGAGCTACAATGGTGTGTGTGTGTGTGGTTAGATTCGAGACTACATACATGTTACACCCAGCTCAGCTCGAGATCATGGCCCAATAAATAGATTCAAACAAAAAGAATATCTAGGCATGATACTCGAGGTGAGACTGTAGCAAAGCGCCTGGTGGTCATTGAAAAGGGCTGAAATATAGCAGCTTGAATGTATATTGATAATTGATACCAACCAGTCCTTCCTCGTATGCGTTTTCATAATTTTCGTCTATGGAATACACATGGCTTTTCACACAAGCAATACCACAGCCTAAATACTCCATCAAATTCAGCAGATCTGTTGCATAAATACGTACCTGCGAACATGCAATGACCTAGAACTTTTCCTGTGCCTGCTTCTCCCTATCAAAGAGACTGATGGTTTTTGGTCACGATATTTTGCATCCAAGACTAAAAATGTCAATAACCATTCAACCCGTTGGAGAATACTTTACAACCAACACAGTATTGAGCACCTCTCTATCACAACTGAAACGAGTCACAAAATACTACACAGTATGTATGCCATGCCCTCCTCGTGGCCAGCTTAGCCAATCACAATGCCCATGGCGTAAAGTCAGTTAGTAGTAAGCTTCCAAAACCTCGCTTCTGAAGTTGGCGTCGAGCTTGTAGCATTATCCAAAATAACTAAGCAAGTACGATTTCCACATCTGGATGATCACAACATAAAACATACTCAATGCACGATTGCTTACCGTATAGTTCTAAAATATTTTGGAAGAACTAGAAAGAAGAGACTACTGAGTAAACAAGACTTGGTTCTCATCATCGCGCATCACATAATGTCACTCTCAGCTATTGGGAAAGGATGCGACCTCCGTATCTCTATAGTCACATTTACCGTGCGTATTCCTTGCCATTACCTTTCACTGTATACCTGTAAGCTGATGAGGGGTATATTTTTACTCAATATTCAATTCTCGTATATCGAGTTTGACGTTCAAGACCCTGAATACTGGAGAGTGATGTCACCTACTATAGGTACTACTTGTATAGCCTCCCGCCCAAGCAGGTATAGTGCCTTCCTGCTCGCCCGGTATTTGCAACTGCCACTCCCGAGCCTTACCAGTAAAATAACCTTGTAAGTATAATACTCCCGTCTTAACTGCAGGCTGACCCATTTCAGCTATAGCGACGTGTACTTAGATATGTATGCATCTGCACGACCCCTCACTTCATCACCTTGCCAACCTGTTTCTGTGACGGAACACATATTATTCCCAACTAACATAGGTTGGTATGCAGTGTATCAAACACTTTATGCAATGCCCAGATCCTTCTTGGTCTCATCTTCTGTTGAGATACATGGCGTGATCAAAACAAGCAGGTGCTTTGCCACAGACCATACGTTATACCTACGCTATATTTGCGCTCTTATGGTTTCATACTAGTAGAGAGCCCAGCCAAAACTGGCTGATCATTCTGGGCATATACACATGCGTTTGGAGACTCAGCCGCCATTGGTCGGACGCCGCCCCAATCCTGAGGCGCTCGATCCTACAATCGATGTCTCTAGATGCGCTAACTTTCTCCAGAATCAGGGCCGACCTTGGCGTATGTACAAGCTAAGTGGTATATGCAAGCCTTATGGGTGTGGCTGAGGCCCAGCCTGCTGACAGCTGTCATGTGCCCTCACCCTATGAAAAGCACGTGGCAAATATTGTTTAGGTGCATAATCTCTGGTGCAAGGAGACATCAAGCTATGCAGGTGAGTATTGAAACATCGGGGTCGAGTCTCAGAAGTACGTCTTGTAGTTTCGTCACGTTTGTTGGTTGCTAATCTTGGTAGGCGTCCAGCTCGACGCCCAATAAATTAGGCTTGTTGAGCGCACCCATGCAGCGCATTTAGCAGCAAATGAAACTTATAGAGCAGGAGGATTTCCCCAGGATTTCTTTGCTTGCACATCATTTCCCCACAGAATAACACGGCCGTTTTTTTTTGCTTGTTTACCGCCAAAAGCCATGTTCATATCACGGGCCGCACACCCCAATCTTACTACAACCGCCACTTTAGGCCACTAGTTAAACTGGCGCACATGCTGGCACGGCAGGTCCTTGTGCCGTCTATGACATGTCATTTTGTCAGCAAAGATTACTACCGAGGAAACAGTCCGACATTGCGGCTATCCAGCACGTGTTTGTGTACTTTTTGTATGGGAGAGTGAGCGTCGTGGCTGATCTGGGCCCCCTCTTGGCGGGCATCCCCAGCTTTCCCCGCATCGGCTACTTACAACGGGTACGCCAGTTGACTGAACTTACAACTCGGCAATTGCACACTGACGGGGCGGTAAGAGCAAACCCGTCATTCTCACCAATTGGCGTTCTCTCTAGAATGCATTTGGGTCGCTCGCGTAGACTTTGTAGCCAGTCGAGTGTGTCCATGCATCTGCCGCGTCATGGCTTAACACCAGCTCGGTCCTCTATTCGGTGCAACTCGAGATTGACTAATCATTGAAAGCACCTATGCACTGGAACGTCTTAGTCAGCCCCAGACCTTATGAAAAACATGGCCGGTACGTCAAATATATGTATACTGTTCGCAGTATCAGATACATGCATCCTGTTCGCAGTTTCACAGGTGCATTGATTTGTCTTAGTGCATCTTTCATTTCATCACATATTTCATCACATATACGCGACGACGGCACAACCTGACCATTGGGTATCCCCACTAACCCCCCAAAGGTAGCGTCGGTTGCGCAAGGGATTGTCTTTGGGCATCCATCGAGTTTCGACTTATTTCCCTCTGCCAATATCGACATTTCATCCGGAGTTGATTGCGGCGTAATCTTTCCCGTATCTGTCAGCAACCGCCCGGGTTAGCTGTACCGGGGCAGTATAGCTTTAATTGGACCATAAGCTCTTGAAACAACTGGTCTGCAAACAAAGACCTCACCTCCCCAATCAACCGTGGTGAACAAGGTGTCCCAAACAACCCTCACACATCCTTATTGCCACCTCGATTGTGTGAAGGTTCAGGGCTGGATACCGCCATCATGGCGTCTCGCGACTACAATGAAGATGTAAGATTCCTATTCTTAGTTTTTTTTATTGTTGAGGGAATTATTGACAGTGTTCAGGAGCGACATCAACTCGAGGAAGAGTTGCACACCGAGATTCTCCCCGGTACGGAGGTCATGGCTGATGTCGGCTCACACCACTTTGTGAAAGGCGACCATGCGGTAGTCTTGGTTCCACAGCCCAGTGATGACCCTAACGATCCACTCAACTGGAGTCCCGCGTGGAAGACGGCTACAATCGCATCAGCAGCCGTAGCTACATTCTCTCAAGGATTCGGCCCATTGGCTCTCTCCCCAATGTTCCCTGCCCTTATGAAAGCTTTCGATACGGACTTGGCTGGGGCTGTTCAATTCACAGGCGTGTGTATTCTTGTCCTGGGTTTCAGTAATTTCATCTGGTGAGCGTGCCGACTCCCCCCCCCCCGTCAACCTTATGTGATGATTAACGGATATACGTCAGGGTTCCCATAAGCTCCTCTTTCGGCCGTCGCCCTGTACTCCTTTTGTCTCAGCTCATCAATTTTGGAACATCAATATGGCGCGCAAAGGCAAACTCGTACGGCGCATTCATGGGCGCGTGTATCGTCAACGGTATCGGTGCAGGTCCTTCAGAGACTACCATGCCTGAGGTCATTGCCGATATATTCTTTTTGCATGATCGCGGCAAGTGGAACACTCTTTACTGGGTGGTGTATATGGGCTCACTCATGGTCGGCCCGATTGTGTCTGGGTCCATGGCAGAGACCGTCGGGTGGCGCGACTTCTGGTGGCTAAACACCGCCCTCTTGGGTTTCTCGTTCCTTATGTGCGTCTTCGCGTTTCCAGAAACGAGATACAGGCGTGCTGCACCAGTGCAAGAGGTCCAAGGAAAGGCACCGTCTCTGGAGGAGAAAATCAAAACATCCACTCAGAAAGAAGTTAGCAATTCAGATACTGAGCAGGATGCCAACGATATCCAGAGGGCCGAGACCGCCATCTCGACTGCCAATAAGGACCTTACCATGTCCGAAACCCAACAGCGCGATCCGCATCTCGGCAAGGGCAAACCTGCTAAATGGCAGTGGAGGATATTCCAACCAAACGCGAACCCTTTCCGAACTATCTTTCTCGAGATCTGGGTTCCGTGGAAACTTCTTACTTTTCCCATTGTAGAGTTTGCTGCTTTCGTCGCCAGCTGGTCATGCTCCAGTTTTCTCACGCTCAATCTCACGCAAAGCCAAGTGTTTGCCGCACCACCGTACAACTTCAAGCCCGTATATGTCGGCTTCACTAATTTTGCCGTTATGGTTGGTGCTACCATTGGCCTCTTCACTGCTGGACCTCTCAGTGATTGGGTGTCGTTACGAAGCACAAGGAGGAATAATGGCATTCGTGAGCCTGAGATGCGCTTGCCGGCTATGATCCCTTATATCATCATCATGCTTATCGGAAACATTGTCGTCTCGATTGGGTATGAGCGCAAGTGGGCGTGGCAAGTCATTGTCATTATTGGATATACATGCGCTGGTATCCAGGTCGCTGGTTTGCCTGGCATAGCCACCACTTATGCTGTCGATTCGTACAAGCCTGTAGCAGGATCAATTTTCGTTGCGGTGACAGTGAATAAGAACCTCTGGGGTTACGGAATGGGAAAGTTCATTACTCCTTGGACTATGGACGATGGGTAAGTTCAGCAACTTTATTGTATTAATAGCACTCACTAACTGCACCAGCTTCATCCCGCCTATTATGACTAACGCAGCTTTGATTACACTTTGGTGTTCATTTGGTTTGCTCTTCTGGTGGAAGGGTAAGACGTTCCGTCGCTGGACAAAGAACAGCAGCGTCCACCAGCATGAAGCTTTGTAATGTTCACTGGGCCTCTACGACTCTATCAACCATCCTTTCCTTAGCCAACCATTATACAAACCCATAGCCTCTACACATAATAAAACCCCTGACTATTCAAGCAATGAAGTCAATCGTTCCTATCCAAGCATCTTCATCTCTTTCTTCACACTGCTCCTTGTAGGCACCCTCGTCGCATCATCCCCAATCCACCCGCACTCCTCCGCCTTCCCCTCCAACTCTTCCCAATCCAACACCTCCAAATCGTCCAACGTAGCATTATTTCCCCTCAACCACAACCAATGCATCAACACAAAACACACCACACTCTTCACCCTCCCATCACTCCACCCCTCCGCTTCCTCATCCCGAATCATAAGATACCTATCCAACTCGGTGACATGATGCTTCATCCGCTCCCGCACACTCTGCGACACATAGCCCCCCACCGGCCCCGCAATCAGCGTAGGGATGACATTCAACAGCAGCGCCCGCCGATACGGATATTTGGGTGACGCAACACCGACAATCGGCGGCTCTGGCGCTACGAACCCAAGCACCGGCGCCGTCGACGCAATCGTAATCGGTTGATCCCGATACGACGACGGATTCGGCTCCATCTTCCACTCCCTCAACATATCGTATCGGAGCAAAAACCGTGTCGCAAGCTGTTTCTTGCGGTCATACAACCTCCCCAGTATCCCTCGGCTTTCCGCAATTTGCTCGGGGAGTAAGGTGCGTGTGAGCAGAAAGAGAAGCTCAATCATGAGGTACCGCGCGTGCAGCGGCGTTTCCGTTTCCAAGGCGGATACGATGCCGATCCAGTCTTTGCCGGGGGACACGGGTTCGAGGAGCGCAGTGACGAGGGGTGTGACACCGGGGATTGTGGCGTAGAGTTGGCCGAAGGCGAGGATGGCGTCGAGGCTTATTTCTAGGCTTCCTATGTAAGGGGAAGGAACTGTCGGAGCTAGAGAGTAGTATGCTGGGAGCTTTGTTGTTGTGATTTTCTGGGGCATCTGAGGTATCTGAGGTATCTCAGGTATCTGGGGTGCATGGGATGACTGAGACGGTTGCGAGGATGGTTCACCAGGGGGTGATACGTCTCGCCCGGAGGGTGGGATTACGCGACGGCCAAAGCGGGTTGTGACTGGTGATTGTTCGGGGGCATTGTTTGAGGATGAGGGTTGTGCTCGGGAGCCGCGAGGTGGTGCTGGACGCAAGGATCGTGGCATTCTGGGTTGATGGTAAACGATGTAGTGGGGAAAGAAATAAAAGATCTATCAGTTTGTAGCAAAAAGGAGGGTTGGTGGTAAAGTAATGGGTGGAGGGTTGAAGTGACGATAGAAGTGAAGGCGGGAGTGAATGTGGTTTGATGCAGCTACTTCCTTAATCAATTCATTTGCACTGTCCTGTTCTGTGAGAACGAACAATGCAACTGCCTGAGTTAATACGTGACTTATTTCTCTATTGTGTGTTATAACGTCCATGTACAACACATTCACCAAGGTCTTCGTATCGGGTTTGGAAACACTGCGGTTTTGTAGCCACAACTCTGGTCAGTGAAAGCCAATACGTGGAGTTTCAGGAAAAGATATTACTGGAGGTCCCAGTGACCATGAGATGTTCTGTTATAGTGGACGATATGGGTTCACTACGCAACTCGTCACTGATCGACACGTCCAAGTCGATTGGCGTATTGTGCCGGATGATTAGAATACTACTGAAAGTTTCCAGATTCCAACCTCAGGGAGTGTGAAATAGTGGATGGATAGACAAATAATGAACATCACTATCCTCAGACAGCAAAAGCAAATGCACACATCCTAACATATATGAGTATATATCAAAACATCAAGGTTTTTCTACAGCTATCCCTTTGTCAAGTTGAAGGCAATAAGTGAAAAAGAGGAGCAAGTCTCTTTATGTAGAGAGATTTCAAACATCGATTACCGATCTACTTTACTGCAAATAGATACACGATCAGGATATTGAATGCCGACATCACTATTTGCATGTCTACATTTTATGGAACCTGTTCGAAACCGCAAACGCTTTCGAACAGTAGATAGATGTTTCTCGTCATGTGAGATCAAATGGTTGACGGAAGAAAAGATCATCTGACAATGGAGAAGTACGAATAGCAATTCGTACATTTTGTCGCTGAAGAGATACTCATTTATCCAGTGTGTCGTTGGTTCATCTTTCACGAGCTGTACTGACGACCTTCCTGGTATACAAGCAGACCCGCTATTCTGAAACAGTTCCTTACGGCGACATATACAACAAAGAAGGAAGATCTTAGAAAGCTAGAGTACGATATTGCAACCCAACATGACATTTTCAAATCGTTGGCCCGAGACCATCTTCGATTTTAACATAAAATGCATCGCTATATGTATAAAAATCACAATCTACCCCTCTCTCAGCAAATTCTCCGCCAGGTCTCTCAGTACAAACTTCCTAATCTTGCCACTACCTGTCAGCGGAACCTCAGCATCGCAGTCCTCTCCCAACCAGAAGATATGCACTGGCGCCTTATGCCTACCCAACACCTTCCTGACCCAACCCTGTACCTCCGCTAAATCAGGCTTTGGCGTATCTGACTCGTGAAGCAAAAACGCCACAGGAATTTCCACGAGGCGCGGATGCGAGACACCAACGACAATCGCGCGCGCAATAGACGGGTGTGCAACCAGCCGCTCTTCTATCTCAAGAGGGTATATATTCTCACCACCTGTTCCTCGCACGTCAGCACTCCTCACCACATACAGACAACGAGAGAAAGAACGTACCTCTGATAATGATATCCTTGAACCGCCCCGTAATCGTACAATACCCATCAACATCCAATACCGCCTCATCCCCCGTATGCAACCACGGCTCCCCATACTCATCATTAACAATAAGCTCAGCAGTCTTCTCCGGATTCTCCCAGTAACCCCTACAAACCTGGTATCCCGCGACGCAAAGCTCGCCTCGAACCCCAATCGGCACGACGCGATCGTTGCGATCTACAATCTTGACTTTGGCATGCGGCAACACGGTACCCACAGTCGTCAAGCGCGCATGCATCGAATCCGTCGTATGCGCGTTGAACACAGTCGGACTCGCCTCGGTGAGTCCGTACGAGGATGTGAAATCAGTCATTCCGAGTTCAGACACCATGCGCTCCATGAGCCATTTCGGCACAGGACTACCGGCTACAATGCCAGTTCGCAATTTGCTTTGCCAGCCCGCGGGACGCGGAACGTCCATTATAGATTCCATCATTGCGGGGACGCCGTGCAGCGCGGTGCAGTTCTCGGTGGAGATGGCGTGCATGCAGGCGATGGGGTCGAAGGCTTCGGCGGGGAAAACGATGGTGGAGCCGTGGGTTAGGACGGCGAGGACGCCGAGGGTGAGGCCGAAGCAGTGGAAGAGAGGGGGTGGGCAGCAGAGAGTGTCGGAAGGGCTGAGTTGCATGCGGTCGCCGATGAAGCGGGAGTTGTTGATGAGGTTGCTGTGAGATGAATTGTTAGTTTGGCTGGATGTACATCGGAGCGTGTGGAGGGAAGGGGAGGAGAAGGGAGAGGACTAACTAGTGTGTTAACATGGCTGCTTTTGGCTTGCCTGTGCTTCCACTTGTGAATTGGAGGTTTGCTACGTCGTGAGGACTTATTATGCCGTCAAAGATGTCGAGGATGTGCTCAGGAATGTATTGGGCATTGTCGATGAAGGAAGAGTAAGTAGCAAAGGAGCCATGTTGACCTCGTATTAAACATACGGTCTTAAGATCGGGAAGTACTGAGGCTATATCTTTTTGACTCAGCCTTTCCAGTAGTGAGATGTTGTCGAATCGGGCAATGTTGGGTGTAGTGAATAGAATTCGGCACTCTGGTTTTGTTAGTTTTGCAATGAATTTCTGGAACCAATGTTTCGAAAAAAAGAAACAAAGACATACTTGTATGCTTCAAGGCAAACTCCATCTCCGTTGCAGTATAGGTATTGTTGAGAGTGACGCATATCGCACCAACTCTTGCGCACGCAAAGAATAATGCAATGTACTTTTCACAATTTCCGCTCATGATGCCTATCCTATCTCTGGGTCGAACCCCTTCTTTTAACAATGCTCTAGCCAACAAGCTCGATTCTGCCCATAATTTCTGGTACGTCCAGCGCGCACCAGTCCATGGTATGACGATAGCTTCGTTGTTGTGGTAATGTGCGGCTTGTTGTTGGAGTAATTGAGAGAGTGTTAACTGAACCAGTGGCGGGTCGAGGGGCCCTGTGACAATGGAAAGGTTGGGGTATGGTGGAAGATCGTAGGGGTCGATCTGAAGTAGTGTTTGGTTGAGACGCTGCAAAGCGTCGTTTCGAGATTGGTCGTATATTTCCGCCATTCTGGCTCGGGACTTTTACTAGTACTTGCTACAACAGAAGATTGGTAGTATACCAAGCAATAATGGCCAAGGGAGCAAGAGGAAGTGAAATGCTCGATAGTAGTTGCGATCAATGGACTCAATCAACCGGGCACATAGGCAATGGAACACAAACGATGTGAGATACCGAAAAGAAGCCGTGTCGTATAGCACTCGCAAGCAATCGAGAGACTGATGCTAATGCCTCAAGACACTTTCTGGTACAATTTGCCCGTGGTAGCAACGAAGGTGATGATGAGTATTTCGCCAATTGCTCGGATCTAAGGATGAGAGCGGAATGAGCCATGCTGTGCGCCCCATTTCCTGACATCGTGGACACAAGGGCATTAGCCATTGCTCGGGTCGGATGATGCTTAATCCGGAGTAGTGTAGAGAGTAGGCCAAGTATCAACATTGCAAAGTCAACCGATCCATCAGCTTATCTCCTGCTCTTTCCGACACACTGCAACTAGCAGCGCCATGGCATGGTCCAGCAAGGGGCCCCACACGATGGCGAGGACCCTACTTCGAAGGAGGGACGATCGTCCAAAGCCGTCGTCAAGCCGCGAAGGTGTAGCCGCGTCTGGTGACAGCCAGGGGCGTGCTCATCCCTGTCACATCAGCCAGTGGAGGGCCGCATTTCATCTCATCTGATAAGATTAACCACCGCTCATGGCTGGTGCGATGTCGGTGAGGACTGGACGCGCCTCAATAGTCGGTGCATTGACGTTGCAAAATTTTATCAGATCAAACGTAAATTTTATCAGATCAAAATTAGCGTCGCCACATGGGATATTGCGTGGAGACAGGCCGGCTGGGTAGTCCGACTAGCGGCTGGGCGAGCATCATGGAGCGTTATCAGATCTGCTGGCCTGCCTCATCAGGCCTTGTCACGTCATGTCAGCGCTTCGAGTAAATTTTTTTTCTCGCGGAGCTTTGTACTAGTTGGAGGCATCAAGTGGAGTGGCCACGCCCAGTGGAACTTGCCGGCTGCAATGCCGTTACGTCTTGTAATCCACCACCACACTCCCACACCTCCATCGTCGGGTTAGTGCGCGAATATTCGGGCAACAAGGCCGCTCGACTCGGCTTCCAAGGCCAGTTCGCACCCTCGTTTGGCGCTACGCACAGGACAGATCAGATAAAAATTTGCGGCTAAATATCTGATCCGCCCTTTGCATGTGGGATGGAGCGGGGGACCGCGGCTTTCATCGAAACCAGTTTTGTGACGGCTATGCAAATACTCTCTAATGTGGGGTACGAGTCGTCCACTGGTACAGGGCGAGCATACGCGTACTCCAGAACATGAGCATTCCACTATTCAGGAGAAGCAGCACGCACGGATGGCAATAGTTCAAGCGATTGTATATTGTCGTGTATATTGATTAATGGGGTGGTATCGTGAGATAGCCAAAGAAAAAAAAAGAAAAATAGAAAAAAGCGCTGAATGATGAATTACAATTTGGCACCTGCATCGAGACTTGGCCGGATCTTCTTCTCGCCATTCCATGTGAATGGGCTCAGAGTGAAGAACTTCTCCCTGTTAACCATCATAAGCGCACTCCTCTTATGCGGGAGATCCATAAGCTTTTCGACGTGGAAACCATGGGCAAAATCATAAGCCAGGACAGTCCTGCTTGTTGCTGCAGGCTCTCCCACTAGGTTCCATGTACGCGGCTCATCAAGGAACATGTAGTGCATTAGACCCGACCACCATGCAGAGACACGGTACGGGCCTCTGAATCTCACGTCCCCTACCAAGGAGTGCCTTCCCCGATCGTAGGGCGACGACTGATAGTGGGCGCCCATATGGTCCTCCTATGTGCTTGTTAGTACGTAATTGAATTACAGCAAGCAGAAACAAAACATACCATTGCCCAATAGACTTCAAAATAAGCAAAGAGAATATCGTCAAACGCAGCAAACATGGTGAGCACGTGGGGGTCCTCGTGCAGTTTGCGGAGATATTCGCGGTGTTGATCAAGAGTACCAGTCTCATTCCAGCCAGCAGCCACACGTGGGTCATTCTGCCACTTGTTGAATAAGCGGAGATGCTCATCGTTGGTGTAGTCCAGAGCCACCATGGTGAAGTGTTCCTTCAGATGGGGTATCCATCGGCTATAGATGATGGACCCTGGCTCGGGCTTAGGCTCCCGAACAGGATGCATCGTGTGTCGGGGCAAAGCTGGAAATTGAGTACTTGGTGCATTCTGGAATGGAAAAGGAGGGTACTGTCTGCTGGCTGGCTTGCCCGAGGCATCGAGGTGTGGTGCCCACACCGGGCGGGCTCCGAACGGAGATGCAGCACCCTGCCAGAATGTGCCTCGGAAGAGAAGATGGCCGTCTTGAGGTGCTTCTGCTCGAGAGGGTTTAGGATGGGGGTGGAAGAGGCCAGTGACATACAACTCATGAGCTAGTGACTTGGAATCCTTGCCGGAAAGAATAACGCGGAAATTCTCTACCAGAGGATGCAGTGACACCAACGCATAAGCGATGAGCCAGACCTGCGGAACTGTAGGTCTATCCTGGTTCCAGGTAATAGTTACATGGGGCGATCGTCGAGCGCGCGCCCAAGAGCTATTGTCGCCCTTTGGTGGCACACTGTCTTGACTCGGTGAACCGATATCACTGAACGAGACATCTTCGTTGTGCAATACAACTGGTGGAGTGACCTCCTTGCCAGTTGTATTTGCCGAAGAAATACGGATCTTATTGTTGGTAGGGTTTCCTTTGGGAGCGTCGTTGACGATTGCGTATGCGGTAAGATATGGGTGAGGAAGTTTGAGAATGAATGGCTCTTCTGCCGCAGTTGGCCTTGTTTGTTGACTCATGTTTAAGTATTGAATTTCGTGCTGGCAGAGAGAGAGACACGAGAAGATTGTATAAAGGACCTTTTCATAGCCGGGGTGTGTTGCTTGAAGGCATTCAACTTGGATACAGCTGCCCCGGGGCTGTTTAACCGAGGTCGTTCCTAGTAACCGGAGCAAGTTATGTGGATATGCTAGCCATTGACGGGCAACAACTGCCAGCGCTTGCGTGGGTGGCCGTGGTACGATGAAAGTCCCGGGTGGATGGCTGATCGCACCATGTGGGTCTTAAGCTGCCACCCTCTAACCCATGCAAGTTGTCGTACATGTGTGGCGTGCATTTACGGCGCATCCATGCGGCCCACACTAGCTGTCGGTGGCATCGTTGTTTTGAGCTTGGATATCGGGGTGTCTGACCGTTGCTGGATAAAGCTCGGATCTTTTTGTTCTGCGTACGAGTTGTGCATGATCACTGCTGCGGTATGAAATTAAACTGCTAGTGTCGTATCACGTTTTAGAACTTGCGGCTTTCAAACATAACAGCGCGCGGTGTCTGTCCTTGCTCTATCATCTTCCACACACACACAATAACCTCCGCCAAAGAAATAAGCAGTACCATGAACGCAGCACCGGTTTCATCAATGGCGCAACCTACACCTTTGTATGACCTTGTTTGCATTGGCTTCGGGGCAGCGCAGCTGGCCACGGCTATTGCGAATAGCGAGTCTCGGGCACCATTGAAAGTGCTTTTCATCGAAAAGAAGCCATCATTCTCATGGGGCTCAAATTCAAATTTATCAAGGACACGAATGGAAAGCCCATTCATGTACGACCTGGCAACACTTCGAAATCCGAGAACAGCCTTTAGCTACGTCAACTACCTCCTCAATCGTAAGCGGCTTATCGAGTTTGCAAACTCGGATCGTCTCAACCCTTTGAGGGAGGAATTTGCCGACTATATGAAGTGGAGTGCTGAGCATTTCAAGAACGACGTAAGATATGGCAGCGAAGTTGTCGGGGTAGCCCCGGAAGTCGAAAGCGATGCTGTACAGGGCTGGAAGGTAGCCGTCAAAGACAATACCGGGAAAACATGGGTGGTGCGAGCGAGGAGTGTTGTTGCACCGTCCCCATCCCGGACCAGTGGACCAGCCGCACAACCACTACCGACAACAAACTTCTTAGCGGGCCAGCGTATCATCTCCATGGATGATTATCCTTCACGAAGAAACGAGCTGCGAGGGGCTAACGAGCCACGACTGAACATATCCGTAGTCGGCTCCGGCGAGAATATGGTCGAGATCGTAGACGACCTGCTGTCCTGTCCTCGGCTGGGTAACATTACAGTGGTGACGGAAAGCGATTCGCTTGCTCCGTTGAGGATTCTGGACGATGCAAAGCCCCCACAGCCCCAGCTGTGCTCGATCTGGGCGAAGCCGACAAGTTGCCAAGCGCCATCTGTCACGGAAGCACCAGAGCACATTCAGAGAGTTTACATGCGTGCCTACGAGAAGCAAGTCCAATCCAAAGGCGAGTTCAGACTTCGCGTCATCATCGGAAAAGACGCTTCTGCTGCATGCTCGGGTTCCGATGTCATCATCAGAGACACGGCGACAAGTCCATTTTCAAACTCTACCCTGTTTCAAAGCGTGGATTCGATCATCCTAGGCTGTCGGCCCAAGGGAGAAAGCCTGGAAGAGGTGCAGTTCAAGCGCGGCGCTATTGCAGAGGGTTGTCGGCTGTGGTTGGTGTCCTCAAAGTCCGATGGAGGGCGGACATTGGCCAAGGACGTAGCGTTGATGGCTGGAGAAATTGTGCGCCAGGCATCCAAAGGGTCCAAGGAGGTAGGGGATGGCGCTGCATCGGTCCAAGTGCAGGCAAGGATATAGAGTGAACGACGTGGGTGGCGATTATCCAAAACGGTGTAGAGCTAGCGAAATTTTTATCTGATCTTGTGAGTAATCCGAGCGGCCCGTGCGTCACTTGCATTTGCACCTGCACCTCCACCTGCACTGACCATGTCCGAGTATCGCCTGCTGCCAAGTCACACACACACAGACGTCCATTCTCCACTCCCCAAGCTCAGCCCACATTGGCACCATGCAGCGTACCTACCCTACTAATCGTCTAGTACTATTATATCGACTACGCATTGGTTTCACGTGATACTGTTCCCAACGGACACGACGCGAGCAATTTCCACCGCCCGCCCCGTGTCGATCCTGGCTGTCGCCTCTCAGTGGGGCCATGGCGCCCAGCTGCCCATATGCAGGTGTCCTCGCACAGCTTCATGAAATTGTACGGCGAGAGACACCTCCTCATCAGCAGTTGAACATTCTTTGTATGTTCCATGCCCATCAGCATGCCCTCTCGGGCCTCTATTAAGCCGTTCTTCGGCTTCCTCCATCTCCTCTTTTACGCGGATCCGACATGGCTCGACAGGATACTTGTTCTCGTTGGCAGCATAGCTGCCATTGCAGCAGGCGTGCCATTCCCACTCATAGGAATTGTCTTCGGCCAACTTGTTGATGAAATCAACACGGTGACCTGTAACAACCGGACCGACAGCTCCTCGCCGTCTGAGGAATCCAATATCACACCCAAAATTCTCCTCTTGGTCTATATCGCCATTGCCAGTTTTGCTTGTATTTACACGCATCTGGTATGCTGGAATTTGGCTTCCCAGAGGCTGGCTCAACGTGTTCGGGATCGCTACCTCCGCAATCTCCTGCGACAAGATATGACCTTTTTCGATAAACTCCAAGCCGGCGAAGTATCTTCTCGCCTGAATGGTGATATCCAGGCAATCGAAAGTGGTACCGGCGAAAAGGTTGGTGTCGCTTTAACATGCATATCCTTCTGTGTCACCGCGTACATAGTCGGCTTCATCAAGAATGCTGAGCTAGCGGGCATGCTCGTTTCTCTGATCCCTGCATTCTTGCTTATGGCGGTAATTGGTGGTCACTTTGTTGGAAAGTATAGCACCAAGTTGGCGGAATGCTTTGGATCCGCCAGTGCCATTGCGTCTGAAGCTCTTAGTCATGTCGGTCTTGTCCATGCTCTTGGAGCCAACACCAGACTTGAAGAAAAGTTCAAGGGGCATCTGGAAAGTGCACGGGATCAGGGCATCAAGAAATCATTTGTTGCTGCTCTTCAGGCTGGACTACTCTATTTCATAGCTTTCTCATCTAGTGCACTCGGTTATTGGCAGGGTAGTCGCAGAGTTGCAGATTCTCTTGAGGGCAAGGGTAGTGCTACTATTGGAGAAATCTACACGGTCACGTTCATTCTCTTAGACGGTAAGTTCAAATGCTGATTGGCGCATGCCATGTGTTAACATTGGGAACCTAGGTGCCATCGTTCTAAGTCAGATTGCGCCCATGCTACCACTATTCGGAGGAGCCATAGCTGCATTCGAACGCTTGCGAAAAGACATTGAAACCGAACCCACCATCGACAACACCTCCACCGCTGCGGAGAAGCTTTCCATGGTAGATGGAGAGATTGAGTTTCGCAATGTTGCGTTTACATACCCATCCCGGCCTGATCATCCCGTGCTGAACAGTATCTCATTGAAATGCAGAGCCGGTACGTATACCTTGCCCTATATGAAACCTCCCGTCTAGCCTCCTAAAATATGGAAACATGTAGAGTGCCAACTAAATGGTTCTTCTAGGCCAACTGACCGCCATTGTTGGACTATCTGGAAGCGGAAAATCGACAATAGCTAGTCTGATTAGTCGATTCTACGACCCACAGTCAGGAGATGTGCTCCTTGATGGCCGTAATATTAGAGACATCAACATCAAAAATCTCCGAGGCTTCATCAGTTTGGTCCAACAAGAACCATCGCTCTTAGATCGCTCCATTCTCGAGAACATCGCCCTCGGCTTAGTTAACTCTCCACCTCATGCTCATCTAGAGAAGACCTTGTTGAGTGGAGTTCTTGCTGGGGTTGCTGAAGATATCAGGAAAGGAAGCCAACTCAGTGAAGCGGCTGAGAAAGCTGGCAAAGAGGTGAGTCATGTTTTCAAAGAACTAGAATTCAATGGCCGCTGTGCTAAGATATACGAATAGGTTGTGGAAATTGTCCAACTCGTGCAACACGCCGCCGATCTTGCCGACGTGGCAATATTCATCAACCGGCTAGAATTTGGATTTGGTACCACGGTCGGCTCAAGCGGAAGTCTTGTCAGTGGCGGGCAAAAGCAACGAATTGCCCTTGCTCGAGCACTCGTTCGGGACCCTAGGATTCTCATTTTAGACGAGGCTACTGCAGCTCTAGATTCCGCAAGCGAGCAACGCATCCAGGCCGCTATTGAGCGCGCTTCTGCGGGTAGAACTGTAATTTCAATCGCGCATCGACTTTCAACAATCAGAACTGCGTCCAAGATCATTGTCATGAAAAAGGGCGATATTTTGGAGCAAGGTACCCATGAAGAACTTTTGGAATTGGACGGATCATATGCGGATATGGTCCGTTTACAAACTGTCAAGGCAGAAGATGGTCCTTCCAGCTCCAGAGCCAGTCTAGAATCGCGCGACGCCGACACGCTGTCGGACGAAAAACAGACAATGAAAGCGCAAGAAGCTGATCCTACGCCCGTAAACGACTTGAGCAATTTAGACTCTGCCGAACCAATCAAAGGTGCCGTCATTGCGGGATCTATCAGGAAAACGATGCTGCCCTTGACCCGCCCATATACGCTTCTTATCCTGTTAGCCTTCTTCGCAGCGTTGATAGTCGGCGGCCAATATTGTGGCTCTGGTCTTCTCTTCGGTAACATTATGGGCCTGATGGCTCCCTGTAATGAGCCAGACTACATTCGCTCCCGAGGCGAGCTGCTCTCCGGGTTCTGGTTCATGTTAGCCTGTATCGCTTTCATTGCCAATTTCACCAGCTGGGCGGCGTTTGGTCTTCTCTCGGAACGACTGATCTACAAGGTTCGTAACCTAACTCTGCAGACACTCCTTCACCAGCCTCTGCAATGGCATGAGTCCGAAGCGAGAAATCCTTCAATGTTACT